ATATATATATATATATATATATATGCTGACGTATCAATATGCATCGATGTGTAGAGAGAAATAGAAGGGGATATCAATGTTCAGAACGATGGCTATATATAGCGTATATAGATCGGGATACATTTACAGAGAGACAGATCGATATAGATATATAGATCGGGAAGCTTGTAAACATACATATGTGTATATATATGTATATTTTGCCATAGACGAATATATCAATACAAGGGCCTGGCCCGGGGGGGGTCCCAGTTCGAGCCGGCGCCGAAGACGCCATTTGAAGACGCTATTCCCCCAAGGAGCTGCGGTGACTCCTCTATTCCGCTGACGCATGGTGAATCTCGTGCCGCCTCTATTCGACCTAAAGCATCTATTCCCCCGACGCCCATTGAAGCTCGTGAAGCCTCTATTCGGCCTGAAGCTTCTATTCGGCTCGTGTCGCCTCTATTCGGCCTACGAATTGGCACGCACAGGTGGGGTAGCGACCCTAAACGCGCCTAAGCCCTAAAACGCCTAGCGTGAACCCTCTTTTCCCCTGACGCCCACTGAAGCTCGTGAACCCTCTATTCGGTCTGAAACCTCTATTCCCCTAGCGCCCAGCGAAACTCGAGAAGCCTCTATTCAGCCTGAAGCCTCTATTCCCCTGGCGCACGGTCAAGCTCATGAAATCTCTGTTCGGCCTGAAGCCTCTATTCCCCTGACGCCCAGTGAAGCTCGTGACGCCTCTATGAGGCCTGAAGCATCTATTCCCTTGACGCCCGTTGAAGCTTGTGACGCCTCTATCCGGCCTGAAGCCTCTATTCCCATGGCGCCCGGTGAAGATCGTGCTGCCTCTATCCGGCCTGAAGCCTCTATTCCCCTGACGTCCAGTGAAGCTCGTGAGGCCTCTATTCGGTCTGAAGCCTCTATTCCCTTGACGCCCAGTGAAGCTCGTGAAGCCTCTGTTCGGCATGAAGCCTCTATTCCCCTGGCGCCCAGTGAAGCTTGTGGAGCCTCTATTCGGCCTGAAGCCTCTATTCCCCTGACGCCTGGTGAAGCTCGTGAAGCCTCTATGAGGCCTGAAGCCTCTATTCCCCTGCGCCAGCTGAAGCTCGTGACGCCTCAATTCGGCCTGAAGCCTCTATTCCCCTCGCGCCCGTTGAAGCTCGTGAAGCCTCTATGAGGCCTGAAACCTCTATTCCCTTGACGCCCGGTGAAGCTCGTGAAGCCTCTATTCGGCCTGAAGCCTCTACTCGGCTTGAAGCCTCCACTCGGCCTGACGCCCGGTGAAGCTCGTGAAGCCTGTATTCGGCGTGAAACCTCTATTCCCCTGGCGCCCGGTGAAGCTCGTACCGCCTCAAGTCGGCCTGAAGCCTTTATCCCCTTGACGCCCGTTAAAGCCCGAGAAGCCTCTATTCGGCCTGAAGCCTCTATATTCCCCTGGCGCCCAGTGAAGCTCGTGAAGCTTCTGCTCGGCCTGAAGCCTCTATTCCCCTGACGCCCGAAGCTCGTGACGCCTCTATTCGGTCTGACGCCTCTATTCCCCTGACGCCAGCTGAAGCTCGTGACGCCTCAATTCGGCCTGAAGCCTCTATTCCCCCGACGCCTGGTGAAGCTCGTGAAGCCTCTATGAGGCCTGAAGCGTCTATTCCCCTGCGCCAGCTGAAGCTCGTGACGCCTCAATTCGGCCTGAAGCCTCTATTCCCATGGCGCCCGTTGAAGCTCGTGAAGCCTCTATGAGGCCTGAAACCTCCATTCCCCCGACGCCTGGTGAAGCTCGTGAGGCCTTTTTTCGGATTGAAGCCTCTATTCCCCCGACGCCTGGTGAAGCTCGTGAAGCCTCTATTCGGCCTGAAGCCTCTATTCCCCTGGCGCCCGGTGAAGCTCGTGACGCCTCTGTTCGGCCTGAAGCCTTTATTCCCCGGACGCCCGGTGAAGCTCGCGAAGCCTCTATTAGGCCTGAAGCCTCTATTCCCCTGACGCCCGGTGGAGCTCGTGACGCTTCGCAGGGTTCGTGCCCTAAGGGAAGGCAAATCGATAAGCAATTACGTAAAACGCGAAAGATTCGTGCCCCTAGACAGGGGTCGTGCCCCAGGAGAGAGCCAATCACGCTAAGGATTCGTCCCCCATGATACTACCACTCGACCAGCACGCATGTGAAGCACGAAAGATTCGCGCCCTAGGAGATGGTCAATCTATAAGCACAGACGTAAAACACTAAGAGGGTTCGTGTTCCAAGAGAAGGCCGATCGATTGGCATATACGTTGAACACAAAAGGATTTGTACCCCAGGGGAAGGCCAATCTATGTGCACACACGTAAGACACGAAGGATTCGTGCCCCAGGAGATTGCGAATCGATATGCACATGCGTAAAGCACGAAGGGTCCGTGCCCCAGGAGAAGGCAAATCCATAGGCGCATACGTAAAACACGCAGGGCTCGTGCCCCAGGGGAAGGCAAATCTATAAGCAAACGCGTAAAACACGAAAGATTCGCGCCCCTGGAAAGGGCCAATCTAAAAGCACACGCGCGAAACACTAAGGACTCGTGCCCCAGGAGAGGGCAAACCTATACGCACATGTGTAAAACAAAAATGATTTGCGCCCCAAAAGAAGGCAAATCTCTAGGCATCACGTAACACGCTAAGGATTCGTGTTCCATGATACGGCCAATATATAAGCACGCAGGTAAAACACTAAACATCCGTGCACCAAGAGTAGGCCACTCTATAGGCACATGCGCGAAACACAATGGACTCGCGCCCCAAGAGAAGGCCAATCAATTGGCACATACGTTTAACACAAAAGATTCGCGCCCCAGGAGAGGGCCAAGACAGTCCAGGAGGCACCGGAAGGGGCCAAGACAGCCCCACAAAGCACCAGGTGGCTCCAGGAAGCGCCGGTGAGCTCCGGGAGGCCCCAGGAGGCTCCAGGGGCTCACCCGGCTTTCTTTATTTAATGATTCTTGTTTAATGAACCTGGGGAGGGCTCTTGCCTATTAGAGGGTGCCACACAGCAAAGGGGCATGTCTAGCACCAGGGATTCTTTGCTAATCAACTTGGCGAGGGGTCTTGCCTAGCATAGGGTGCCGCACAGCAAAAGGGCATGTCTAGCACCAGGGATTATGTTGTAATTAACTTGGGGAAGGGTCTTGCCTAGCAGAAGGTGCCGCGCAGCAAAGGGGCTCACCTTGGAGAGGGTGCCGCACAGCAAAGGGGCACATCTAGCACCAAGGATTTGTTTCATCAACTTGGGGAGGAGTCTTGCCTAGCAGAAGGTGCGGCACAACATATGGGGCCGCCTAGCACCAAGGATTCTGTTTTCAATCAACTTGGGAAGGGCTCTTGTCTATCAGAGGGGGCCACACAGCAAAAGGGCATGTCTAGCACCAAGGACTGTTTTCTAATCAACTTGGCGAGGGGTCTTGCCTAGCAAAGGTGCCGCACAGCAAAAGGGCATGTCTAGCACCAGGGATTATGTTGTGATTAACTTGGGGAAGGGTCTTGCCTAGCAGAAGGTGCCGCGCAGCAAAGGGGCTCACCTTGGAGAGGGTGCCGCACAGCAAAGGGGCACATCTAGCACCAAGGATTTGTTTCATCAACTTGGGGAGGAGTCTTGCCTAGCAGAAGGTGCGGCACAACATATGGGGCACGCCTAGCACCAAGGATTCTGTTTTCAATCAACTTGGGAAGGGCTCTTGTCTATCAGAGGGGGCCACACAGCAAAAGGGCATGTCTAGCACCAAGGACTGTTTTCTAATCAACTTGGCGAGGGGACTTGCCTAGCAAAGGTGCCGCACAGCAAAAGGGCATGTCTAGCACCAGGGATTATGTTGTGATTAACTTGGGGAAGGGTCTTGCCTAGCAGAAGGTGCCGCGCAGCAAAGGGGCTCACCTTGGAGAGGGTGCCGCACAGCAAAGGGGAACATTTAGCCCCAAGGATTCTTTTTTCATCAACTTGGGGAGGAATCTTGCCTAGCAGAAGGTGCCGCCAACAGATGGGGCACGCCTAGCACCAAGGATTCTGGTTCCAATCAACTTGGGGAAGGCCATTGCCTAACAAAGAGTGCCGCACAGCAGATGGGGCACGTCTTGAACCAAGGATTTGTCTTAAATCAACTTGGGGAGAGGTCTTGCGTAGCAGAAGATGCCGCGCAGCAGATGGGGCACGCCCAGCACCAAGGATTCTCTTTTAACCATCTTGGGGAGGGCCATTGCGCAACAAAGTAAGCCACACAGAAGATGGGACACGTCTAGGATTCTTTTTAAATCAACTTGGGAAAAGGGGTCTTGCCTAGCAAAGGGTGCCGCGCGGCAGATGGGGCACGGCCAGCACCAAGGATTCTTTTTAAAGCAACTTGGGGAGGGCCATTCGCCCAACAAAGGGTGCCACACAGCAGATGGGGCACGTCTAGAATTTTTGCTTAAATCAACTTGGGGAAGGGTCTTGCCTAGCAAAGGGTGCCGCGCAGCAAAGGGGCACATCTGGCGCCAATGTTGTTTTTGTTTTAATCAACTTGGCGAGGGGTCTTGCCTAGCAGAGGGCGCCGCGCAACACATGGGGCACATCTAGCATCAAGGGCTTGTTTTATCAAGTTGGGGAAGGGTCCTGCCTAGCAGAGGGTGCCGGACAGCAGATGGGGCACGTCAAGCACCAAGGATTCTCCTTTAATCAACAACTTGGGAAGGGGTCCTCCGGTAGGGGTCTTGCCCACAAGAGGGTGTTGCACAGCAGATGGGGCATGTTTAGCGATTCTTGTTTAATCAATTTAAGGAGGGGTCTTACCTAGCAGAAGGTGTCGCACAGCAGATGGGGCACGCGTTGTGTTAGGCACGGAAAGCGTGGAGAAACATTGCACCTTCAAATTACAATTGGGAAGGGCCTACTGAGCATGGTGACAAGAAGGAGCATTTTCACAAGGAGTAGAATCTTCACCAGGAATAGCGTCTTCACCGAGACTGGCGTCTTCACCGGGAATAGCGTCTTCACCAAGAATAGCGTCTTCACCGGGAATAACGTCTTCACACGAGCGTCCTCACCAGGATTAGCGTCTTCCCTTGGAATAGAATCTTCACCCGGAATAGCGTCGTCACCAGGAACAGTGTCTTCACCGATAATAACGCCTTCACCTGGAATAGAGCCTTCACCTGGAATAGAGCCTTCACCAAGAATCGCGTCTTCACCTGGACTAGCGTCTTCACCCGGAATAGCGTCTTCACAGGGAATAGCGTCTTCACCGGGAATCGCGTCTTCACCGGGAATAGCGTCTCAGTCTGCAACCGGGATGGCGTCTTTACCCCGAATAGCGTCTTAGCATCTTCACCGGGAATAGCGTCTTCACCGGGAATAGCGTCTTCACCAGGAATAGCGTCTTCACCCGGAATATCGCCTTCACCCGGAATAGCGTCTTCACCCGGAATATCGCCTTCACACGGAATAGCGTCTTCACCCCGGATCGTGTCTTCACCCGGAATAGCGTCGTCACCGGGAATAGCATCTTCACCCAGAATAGCGTCTTCACCCGGAATAGCGTCTTCACAGGGAATAGCGTCTTCACCTGGAATAGCCTCTTCACAGCGAATTAGTAGCGCCTTCACAGGGAATAGGGTTTTCAAAAGGTTTAGCGTCTTCACGGGGTAGTGCTGTCTGTGTCCGCAGAACGCTTTTCCACTGGGAATAGCGTCTTCATCCGGAATTGCGTCTTCACCCGGAATAGCGTCTTCACCGTCTTCACCGGGAATACGTCTTCACCCGGAATAGCGTCTTCACCGCCTTCACTGGGAATAGCGTCTTCACAGGGAATAGCGTCTTCAAATACCGTCTTCGGCGCCGGCGCGAACTGTGAACCCCGGCTGCCAGGGCAATGAATATACATGTATATATACATGTGTATGTACATATATATATATATATACATACATGTGTATATATATATATATATACACATTGAGCGGTAGACTGCTATACTGATAAGTCGGTTGATCTGTAGATAGGTAGGTATATATATATAGATGTATATATATTTATGTGTGTATAGGTGGATGTCCTAAATCGGTACGTCCTCCCCACAGCAAAGCAAGACCCACTGGGTGTTCAAATTTAGCTACCCTGAGCTGCTGTCTGTAATGGAGCCTAGACTATAACTGACTTTCCTGAGGGAGACGCCGGACTAGGCGAAAAACTGCTTCAACAGTTCTAACGCGGGCTGCGCCGCACTGGCCGCGTGGCCTCTAAATCAGAAATTAGATAGATGTGTCGATAGATAGATGGGCAGACTCGCGCGACAATAGGAAAGTTGCAGCAACCACCAAATAACCCAGAGCGATCGCACATCGACCGCCTCCCCCTTCCCCCCCACCTCCTTATCACCCGTACGGTGGTCAGATCGGTATGTTGTGTTCGTATTCGGTCATGGAATGGTCTACTCTGGTATGTTCAATGATGTTATGTTACGCTCTAATGTGTCATGATATTGATATGATATGTATGTCTTGTCCTGTCATGCTCTGTTCCGTTCTGTCGTGTTCTGTTATGTCATGTTGTGTTCTGTCGTATTCGTCGAGGCCGCGAGTCGGGACACCCGGGACTCTCGGGGATCATCGGGACAACTTGGGGTCTGGCGGCCGCAGTATGCAGGGCGGGGTTGGCTAGGGGGCATGTTCTTGAAATCTACAAACCCCAACCGTCGGGTGGGGAATCAAAAGCCCTCACTGCATGGGGAATCGCTTTTTATATATATATATATATATATATATATATATGCACATCTAGCGGCGATACATAAAAGCGCTTCAAGACAGCTAACTTGAGCGATAGGTAATGGCAATGCTGACCTCCGCTGTTCGTTGGGGGTCTGGAAGCCTTGAGCGCACGCCCGGGCGGCGCCGCGGGAAGCGCGGACCGCCAGCGACACGACGCCGAGCCCCTCCTGGCGCGGCACGCGCGCGCGCCTGCCCGCCGCACCCCCGCCAGCGTCGTCGCCGCCGCCACCGTCGCCGCTGTCGCCGTCGGTGACGGGGGGAGGAAGAGGGGGAGGAGGAGGAGGAGGAGGAGGAGGAGGAGGAGGAGGAGGAGGAGGAGGGTAGGAGCAGGGTGGGAGCAGGGTGGAGGACGCGGGAGAAGAAGGGAGAGGGGGGGGAGGAAAAAAAAGCTGGAGGGCGGGGAGAAAGGAGGAAGAGGGGGAGGAGGAGGAGGAGGACGAGGAGGAGGAGGAGGGAGGAGGAGGAGGAGGAGGAGGAGGAGGAGGAGAAGGAAGGAGGAGGAGGAGGAGGAGGAGGAGGAGGGGCGAGCGTCGGGGAGCAGGGGAGCAGAGGGAGAGGAAGGGGGGGGGAGATGAGCGGTAGGAGAACGAGGGAGGGGGAGGGGGGGGAGGAGGAGGACGATGGGGGAGGGAAGAAAGGGAGGAGGAACGCAAGGAAGACGAGGGAGGAAGACGAGGGAGGAGGCGCGGGAGGAGAACGAGGCAGGGGAGGGAAGGGGGAGGAAAAGGATGAGGGGGCCGGCGTTTAGGGCCGTCGAAGCCTCCAGGAAAAACGACGGGGGGCTTTCCTACTCGCAGGCCTTCTCGCACACGCTGACCCTAGCACTAATGTTGAGACGACGTCAGGCTTCAACTTCGTCTCCCGCATGTCGCTGTGAATGCCCTTACCTCGCTGGGCAACTACAGAAGCCTGCTGCCAATGATCGCATTTTCACTGACGGTCTCATCCCGGCGTGTCACTCGGATGTCGGAGAGATGCGAAACAGGTCGCGCGTATCGTTTCTGTTGCTGTTAGTCCTGAGACCGCGCATGTCCAGAATACCTCCCACCTCAGACGCCAACATCACATCACAGCTACTGGACTCTGGCTTTCTCGCACTCGGTGATGCAAGCGCTGATTTCACTGGATCCTACATCTCGCTGCCCACCACAAACAGCCCGCTGGTATTGCTCGCCTTTCTCGCCAGAAGTGGCTCCATAATTTCTGCTGGACGTCAAAGCTCCAGCCCGTACAGCCGACGGTGAGGGCGTTGGATCAGGAACCTCTGGAGGATAAGGAATCCAATGTCTGAAAGCCTGTGGATCACCAATTGAGGATTGGCCATGGATACCACCGCAGCCCTTACCAGATAAGGAGTCCTCACGGGTCTGAAGCCTCCTGGGCACATTCCTTAACCAACGCCCCCACCGTACTTAGTCATGCGGCCGACGCAACATTCGGCCTCTCAGGAGAGCTCCCCTGATCGTACCAGTGAGCAACCAGCCCTCCCGCACTCGCTGACCCTATCTTTGTATATTCATACATATCTATGTACATGCGCACCTAAAGACATGTTATATGTATATATATATATATATGTGAAGAGAGAGAGAGAGAGAGAGAGAGAGAGAATAGAGAGAGAGAGAGGAGAGAGAGAGACACACACAAGACAGAGAGGTTGTCGCCGTCAGGCTCCAGACTCGCTTCACACATCTCGCTAAGCAGCGACACAGCCCGCTGCAATTGCTCGCCGTTCTCGCACGCTTAGGCCCCAGCAGTGCACCTGACCAGGGCTGGCCCCATGAACTCACGCCCACACGAATTTACTCGCACTCAGGCGTTGCTCGATGGGGGGACGATGCATGGGTGGGGGAAAAACGTGCACCGTTCGTGCCCCTTTGGGGTCCAAGGGTGGCCCTTGAGGGCCCCGTCCGGGCACAAAAGATGCACCTTTTCTTCACCCCCGCCACAGCATTATCGCCCCCCTCCCATTACGCAACGCCCGACGCACGCGAGGGCGAAAACCGCCAGGCCGCATGCCTGCCGCCGTGCTGTCACGCTCTCGCGGCTGCTGGTCTCCTGGCCTTCCAGCATATTATTTCCTACTCGCCCACCAGCCTTCGTGCCTGATTCCTTGCTTGTGCAGGTAGCGTTCGCTGATTTCCAGGCTCAGCTTGACCTGGGTCGCAGGAAGGACAGACTAGTACTCCGCGCTGATGCTGGAAACGCACGTACGACACAAACCAATAGTACACATATAGTATAATGTATGGTTTCCCGAGCGGCATGACCAGCCACGGAGTTTATATTATGATAGTTCCGAGCGCGCGCGTCGCCCTTGCAGGGCCGACGCACAAATAGTAGAAATATGTCTGAGCGGAGCCGATGCCCGATTCGCAGATCACTGGAACCGCCGCGTTCCAGTGCCCTGTCCTCCCACAACTCTGGATGACCGCCCCATTGGAAGCAGCGTCCGGTCGAGATCCCCGCCGGCCCAGCCTTCAAAATTATTAAGCTCCACTGGTGTCAGTTGGCATCGCGAAAGCCAAGGCGGCTACGGATAAGGCGGGAAGGAGAAAGGAGCGGTGGCGCATGCTAAGAACAAGACCGCGCAGAGACTGGCCTCTGGTAACCTCGACTCAGCGACTCAGACGGCCCTCGACACGACGACGCCCTGCTTGACGGCAACAACCAGAGACTGCAATGTGTGCAAGGAGATGCTGGTTGTCGTGCGCATGCTGAAGGACCCCGCGTGTAGAAACGTGCGCCCACGGCGCCATGCTCAAGCGCCCGCTGGCTGCATGGCGGGGCCAGCCGTCTATTCGTCGTCTCCCTAGAAGAAAACATCAAAACACAACAAAATCAGAATTCCTTGAACCTCACAGGGTCCTCGACACTCGCTCGATCCTGGACCCTCGAACCGAACTTAGATCTCGATCAGCCTCCTCGTCGACCTCGTGTTCTCGAGCCTCGAGCCTCCCGATCATCAAGACTCCCGATCCTCGAGCCTCCCGATCCTCGAGCCTCGAGCCTACCGACCCTCGAGACTCGATCCCCCTCGATACTCGAGCCTCGATTATCCTCCTCGACCTCTGGAACGGACTGAGGGGAGGAGGGGCAGGAGGAAGAGGGGGAGGAGGAGGAGGAGGAGGAGGAGGAGGAGGAGGAGGAGGAGGAGGAGGAGGAGGAGGAGGAGGAGGGGGCCAGCGTCACAATGAGGTCGATTGCTCCTTAACGCCCTGGGCGAGCCGCTGCCGCACGTTGACGGGCGCGGGCGAAGGCTGGGGCGGCGCGCCGGCCGCGCGGGAGGTAGCGGCTCGGGCACACTCGAAACCCTGCCGGTCGGAAACCGCCCCGTCAGGCCCGCGCTTCCGGACCTGATGCAAGTGCCGATGAAGGTGGAAACGCATCACCAGAAGACGAGCCGCGTCCGTGCATTGGCCAACGAGGGCTAGCCGGGCAAGCATGTCCGCGGGAACAGGACGTCCTGAGACCCGGACCAGGAGCTCGTCAAATCTGGGGCAGACGATGTAGTGGGAGAGTGAGTCGAGGGCTCCACCACAGCCGAGGAGACACCCGTGTTGGGGGTTCCTTAGCCTAGTGTCTGTGACCCACCCCCCAGTCCACGTCTTGAAGAGAGCCCAGCGCCATGCAGGGGGGAGGGAAGCGAGGGAGGAGCGAAGCGAATCAAGGTCGAGAGGGACGAGGGAGGCCGGGGGAATGGCAAACCATTTCTCCAGGCGCTTGCGCACCCTCGCAGCCAGGCCCGAGCGTCGATCGGGCAGCGCGAGGGCGCGCATCAGCGCGGCCTGAAGACGGGGCCGCCTCCCCTCACAGCGCCGCGCCTCGGCTTCCAGCGACGCGACCCTCAGGGCAGTCTCCGAGCCCAGCAGCGTCGCCGCCTCCTCCAGGAGCACGGCAAGGGGCCTCGCTTCCCAGAAGCCCTGCCACGCGAGCCCTCGGCCGAGGGCCTCGAGCGAAAGGCACCGCGCTGCCGTCTCGCGGAGGGCCCGCGCCATCGCGCGCCACGTCACCAAGGTCTGCGTGGCGGTGCGCACGCGGGCCGCTGCGCAGAGGTCCCCAAGGAGGTGTATCGGGGTCAAAGCGAGCAGGTCCAGGGCCGAGGAATCCAAGAGTCCGAACCAGCTGCCCAGCGCCCGCAGCAGCCGACAAAGCACGTGGTGCTCTGCCTTGGGCAGGCGCTTCGGCAGCGGGATGAGCTGCGCCTTGTACGAGGCGACCGCCAGGGCCCTCTCGTGGTAGACCTGCACCGCCGTCTGTGCATCGTAGGGGGCAGCGGCAATCTGCCCGGCGCGCCATTCCCACTTCTCCAGCGTTGGCGCCCGCTGGAGGTCCGTCGACGCTGCTGGGCCCAGGAGGACCCCGAGCGCCTTCGCCATCGGGGCGACGCGGAAGAGCCGCCACCGCTCGGAGACGGAGCCGAGGATCTGGCGCGCTTCCTCCTCCACCTCCGCCGAGAGGGGTGCCCAGAGGGGCACGCAGACGCACTTCTCCTCCTTCAGGACCAGGTTGGCGAGCAGCGCCGAGGCCTTCATGATCCTCCCGACCACGCGAAGTCCGACCAGCTGGAGCGTGACCGTGAGGAGGTCGTCCGCGCACCAGCGGCCGATGCCACGGCGCCGCCCCTCCAGGTGCTTGGCCATGTCCTGGCAGAACGGGTGCTCTCCAGCCGCGTACAGGGATCCCGAAGCAGGGTCACCTTGCAGCACCCCGCTGCGCACACGGAAGAGCTCCTCGCGCGTCGGCCCGGAGTCCAGGGCACGGACCTCGCTGTATTGCATCTGGAGCCCATTCAGCAGGGGCTGCGGGATCTCCCACTCCTCCAGCACCCACCACAGCCAATCCTGGAAGACCGAGGGGAAGGCGCGCGAGTAATCGTAGCTGCACAGAAACGGCCGAGGCGGACCCAGCCCTCGCAGTTCCGCAGGGTCCAGCTTCAGCCACTCGGTCGAGGACGGGTTGAGGAGCACGTCCCCGACTCCAGGGCGCAGGCCGGAGCCGCCGCCGGCGGGCGCGCCGCCGGCGGAGGCTCCGCTCTAGGAGGAGGAGGAGGAGGAGGAGGAGGAGGAGGAGGAGGAAAAGGAGGAGGAGGAGGAGGGGGAGGAGGAGGGGAGAGGAGGAGGAGGAGGAGGAGGAAGAGGGAGGAGGAGGAAGGAGGAAGAGGAGGAGGAGGAGGAGGAGGAGGAGGAGATGGAGGGGGACGAGGGGGAGGGAGAAAGAGAGGGAGGAGGAGGAGGAGGAGGAGGAGGAGAGGAGGACGAGGAGGAGGAGGAGGAGGAGACGAGGAGGAGGAGGAGAGGAGGAGGGGGAAGAGGAGGAGGAGGAAGAGGAGGGGGGAGGAGGAGGAGGAGGGAGGAGGAGGAGGAGGGGAGGGAGGAGAAGGAAGGAGAAGGGGAAGACGAGGAGGAGGGGAAGATGAGGAGGGAGGAGGAGGAGGAGGAAGAGGAGGAGGGGAGGAGGAGGAGGAGGAGGAGGCGGAGGAGGAGGAGGAGGAGGAGGAGGAGGAGGAAGAGGGAGGAGGGGGAGAAGGAGGAGGAGGAGGAGGAGGAGGAGGAGGAGGAGGAGGAGGGAGGGAGGGAGGAGGAGGGAGGGAGGGAGGGAGGAGGGAGGAGGGTGAGGAGGAGGGAGGAGGGAGGAGGGAGGAGGGAGGGGGGAGAGGAGAGGGGTGAGAAAGAGGAGGAGGAGGAGAGGCGGAGGAGGAGGAGGAGGAGGAGGAGGAGGAGGAGGGGGAGGAGGAGGAGGGGGGCGAAGGAGGAGGAGGTAGAGGAGGAGGAGGGGAGGAGGAGGAGGTGAGAGGAGGAGGAGGAGGAGGAGGAGGAGGGGGAGGGGGGAGGAGGGAGGGAGGAGGGAAGGGGGGAGGGAGGAGGAGGAGGAGGAGGAGGAGGAGAAGAGGAGGAGGAGGAGGAGGAGGAGGAGGAGGAGTAGGAGGAGGAGAGGAGAGGAGGAGAGGGGAGAAAAAGAACAAAGGAGGAGGAGGAGGAGGAGGAGGAGGAGGAGCAGGAGGAGGAGGAGAAGGAGTAGGAAGAGCGCGGAAGGAGGATCAGAACGTAGGAGGACCTCATGTCCCTCAAGACTCCCTTCCTTCATGGTGAGATCCCCCCCTAACCGGCCCCGCCGTCGCGAGTCCGACTCAAAACTGCTCTCAAACTTGATCTCCGACCCCACTCCAAGGGTTCATCCTAAGCAGCTTCGCGATACGTGCCCCAGCCGTGGCAGCGACAACCTCCAGAGACGCCCGAACGCATCCGAAGCATTTTCTTCGTCGTCGCCGCCGCCGTCGTCGTCGTCGTGGTCGTCGTGGTCGTTGTCGTCGTGGTCGTCGCCGTGGTGGTCGTCGTCGTCGTGGTCGTCGTCATAGCCGTCGCCGTCGTCGTCGCCGTCGTGGTCGTCGTCGTGGTCGTCGTCGTCGTCATCGTCGTCGTCGTCGGCCGCCGCCGCAACGCGGCCGCCGCCGATCCGCCGCCGCCGCCGTCGCTCCTCGAGGCCTCCATCCTCGGGGGGGGGGAGGGCGCCTGCTCGTGCGCGCCGACTGGCAGCACCTTTTGCCCGCGCCCGCGCCTGACCTGCTCCTCCACAGCGGCATTCCGTCGTCGCCGCCACCGACGACGGAGACGAACACGTCGACGACGACGGCGACGACGACGAAGACGACGACGACGAAAACGACAACGACGACGACGACGCGGGCGGCGGCGGCGGCGGCGGCGGCGGTGCCGGCGGCGGCGATTACAGCGACGACGGCGGCGGCGGCGGCGACGACGGCGGCGGCGGCGGCGGCGACGGCGGCAACGACGACGACGACGATTTCCGCGGCGGCGATGACGGCGTCGGCGGCGCTCGTCGTCCTCGTCGTTTCCGTCGGCGTCTTCGTGGACGTCGACGTCGGCGTCGCCGCCGCCGTCGTCATCGTGATGTCGTCGGCGTCCTCCTGGCTTCGTGATGGGAAGAGGAGGAGGAGGACGACGAGGAGGAGGAGGAGGTGGAGGAAGAGGATGAGGATGAGCTGGAGGAGGAACTGGAGGAAGCGGATACAAAAAAGGGAGGAGAAGCAGAGTCAGGGAAAAACGGAGACGAGAGGAGGAGAAAAAGGAGGAGGAGAAGGAGGAGGAGGAGAAGGAGAAGAAAGAGAAGGAGGAGGAGGCGACAAGGCAGGGCAATTCCTAGAAGTCTACTCCATAATTACAGCCGTGCTTTCAGAAGACTTCTGAGCGTCGCAGCGTCGTCTTCGCGACATGCATTCTCGATATGGAACCGCTGCAGAGCCCGAGTGGCATCTCGAGCGGGCCCTCGCGCTGCCCCTCCAGGGCGATCCGCCATTTAGGCGCGAAACCTTGGCGGGTACCCTTTGGGGACCAGCGTTCACGAGGCAGCCTCCAGTCCACCAGTCTCCCCCTCCCCACCCTTCCGATCATCAGCAGGGCCATTACCCCGCCCTCGCCAACGAGCAGTGCAGCGAGCGAGTCCTCTACCTCTTCCGCTCTCGGCTGCAGGCGGAGCAGAATTCTGCCGGCTCTACTTCTCTTGACCTCTCGGGCGGGCAGGAGCATGATGGACGATGGAAACACGAGGGGGAGAGGGAGAAACGTGAGATTGGGCACGGTTGGGCTGCATCACGCTAGCTGGCACCGCGCCTCTACGCACCAGCTCAGCTAGTCTACACCCGTCGTCCTCCAATCAGTTATTTTCTGCATTTCTCCCACGATCTTGCTGACCTCTCTCTCCAATGGTCCCCGTGGAGCGGGGCCTGTGATGCGAGTCGCGTTCCGCCTCCTCATGAGCCACTGTAGTACGGCCGTCTACATATCGGCGAGCACCGGGCTGCTCAGGGCCAACGCAGTGTGCAAAATCCCTTCGGCCTCTGGCGCGTCCTGCCTGGCCTTCTTGTAGCGGAAGTGCAGGATGTGTTCCCCCATCTTCGCGTAGATCATCCCTCTCGGAGGACCGAGCTGGCGGCGCTGCGGGCACTGGGGCGCGGTGCGGCGGCGCCGCTAGGCAAGACTGCCGGGAGCACTGGGCGGACAGCCCTTAGCCCGCGGATATCTGCGTATTCCTCCGAGTCTCCGCCCCGATCCCGGGTGACTGGCGCAACTCCTCCACCCCCCGCGTAAGAGTGACCCTGGGCAAGAGTGACCTTTGGCGCGCGGTCATAAGGGGGGGCGCAAGGGGGCCACCACAAAGCGTGCAAGCCACTGCTATCGCATCTCGTTCAGCGATCGGGGGCCCGCGCCAAAAGGTCACTCCAGCGAAGGGTCACTCTTAC